AATATATCTGAATTTGATCTACTTACATTTCAAAGTAGTGTTACATAATATGCATAACCTGGTATCTTACTAAGATATCTTTCCCAATTTTTCACAACCGAGGATTATATTAAAAAAATCCCAACATTTATAAAAAACTATCTATATTTGTGTAAAATTCAAAATGTCTATAAACACAAGTAAATAAAGCCTAACTTATGAAATAGTTCATTTATTGGATTACAAATTCTATACAGAATAATCTTAGTCGTCAAGTATATTAATTTCCTCTTTACGGTAATGCAAATCTCTATAAAACTACAAAGCTCTTTAGTAAATGAAAATAACTTCTCCACATAAATATATAATATCCCCATCAAAAATAATTCACAGTGCAAATAACCCTGAAGATAAATCAAATAATAATATTGTACTAATTTGATATCATTTCATATGACATCCTTCCCTACAAATTTTGTACGCTTTTAAAACAAAAAAGAAATAAAAAATATTACATTTGCAAATCTTAAATTACTCTTCACACACATTAAGTTCATTATCATACAAAAATAATTCATTAACTGTCACACATTTTCCGCAGATTTGAAAGGCCTTTACTGATTGCATTTTCCATGGCTTTGTATCCAGGCTTCCCGTAATTATCTCGTCGTTTGGAAGAAGTGGGGCCATAATACTCGTACGTTGCAGGGGGAGCAAATTCGTTTCTTCGTTCCTCCTCTCCGGTGGAAGGCTCGCCGCAATCTGGATTCCCGAAAGCTGGGTCTCTATAAGCCTGCGAACCTGTCCCTCTATCGTCTCGCAACCCCCTCTCTGGATTGGTAGATGATGGTCTTGAATTTTGCTTGCTGTTCCGCTGTTTACTCGGCTCATACAGGGTAGGTGGTGCAAACTCGTTGTTCCGCTGCTCCCTCTGTCGCAGGACCCACTCTTCTTGCGAAAGGGTTGATTTGACCCCCTCCTTCCCCATGTCCCATTCTCTCGTGTGCTTACGCTTCTGGGCCCGTTTCAGCTCCTCGCGTGACGTTTCCTCCTTCTGCAAGTTGGCTGGGGCAGGAGGACCTATACTGGCGCCCTCATCCTCTTCTTCGTCTTCTGAGGCTGGAGGAGTCTTCAATTTGGCTTGTTCTAGATCTGAAATAAGTAATTGGGGAATTATAACTAATACCGAGGATTGAAAAGCATGACAAAACATAATAAAAAAAGTAGACTAAATCTGCATCTATGCCTCTGTGTGTGTGTGTGTGTGTGTGTGTGTGTGTGTGTGTGTATGTGTGTGTGTGTGTGTGTGTGTGTGTGTGTGTGTGTGTGTGTGTGTGATGTGTGTGTGTGTGTGTGTGTGTGTGTGTGTGTGCGTGTGTGTTGCGTGTTTGTGTGTTGTGTGTGTGCGTGTGCATGTGCATGTGATGTGAGTATGCATGTGGATGTGCATGTGCATGTGCTTGTGTCAACAAAGACAAAACATTAATTCAACAAAAGATAAGCAGACAAAACGACACACTGTCTCTCACCTTTGACAGGCAATCCCAGCTTGAGTCTCTTCCTCTGACGGACCTTCTCCAGCCTCGCCTGGAGCATCTTCTCCTTCTTGGCTGCGGCTGCCCGCTTGGCTTTCCCCCCCACCTGCGTCTCTTTGTGGAGCTCTTGTAGGAGTTCCATCTGCTCCTTCCTCTCCTTCTCATCCTTGGAGAACCTGAGGTAGCCTGTGCCGTGAACTCTGGCCTCTGTGGGGGGATGGGAAGGTGTATATTAGTGTGATGAGGAAAGGGGGAAAAATAATTCAAATCGCTTATTCACTCTCTTTCTCTTTTTCTCTGTCACACACACAAAAGACGAACGTACCATCAAAAGCAACGTCTTGGTAGTGCATGTCCTTCTTAAAGGCATTAAGTTCTTCCTCAGTTTCCCATTTCTGTCGCTGGATCTCTCTTCGCATGTCCTCTGATAGGAGATCGGGCTCTGAAGTCTCATCCTGGAGAGGTTCATAAAAGAATAGTTTAAAAAATTAAGGAATTGATGGCTAAATTTTATACCTTTTGAGTGGAAAAAAAAAGAAGTCTTAAAAAATTCATGGAATCGAGAATCATTTGTAATGACTGGAGGAGAAAGGAGGAGTAGGAAGAGGAGGAAAAAGAGGAGAAAAAGAAAGATAATGAAGTGAAAGAGAAGAGGGAGGAGGAGGAGGAGGAGATGAAGGAAAAAAAAAAGGGAGAAGAAGAAGAAGAAGAAGAAGAAGAAGAAGAAGAAGAAGAAGAAGAAAGAAGAAGAAAGAATAAGATAAATAACTGGGAGATGAATGACTAGGCCCTGAACTTACCCATGTGGTATCCCTGGCAAGTTCCTTGTCCTTCTCCACCATCTCCGGCAAGTCCTTCCTCATGCAAGTGCGAGTCCTTCCCAAAACATCTGTATATTCCACCCTGTCATTTAAAAAAACAGATGTAATGAATGATAACAATTATAACAAAAAAAGTAGTAATACAGATACCACTGCTACTAATAGAAAATAATCCTATGTTAACAATATAATGACAAATATAAAAATAAAAGCAAGGGTGATGATGCCATGTCATAAAAGAGCTTTAGAAAGAGAAAGAAAAATGACAAATATAAAAATAACAGTAATGATGATGATGCCATGTCATAAAAGAGCTTTAGAAAGAGAAAGAAAAAAAGATATATTAATGATGTACTCAGTTCTCAATTATAAAATTATATTCCAACACATTTGTTTACATTTAATATTATTTTCTTTGAAGAGAATAAAAAAAAAAAAAAAAAAAGACATATATATATATATATAAAACTTATGATATATAAAATTAGCCAAATGCTTAATCATTAAATCATAATCTATCAAAGTTACTCACATTTTCTTTTTCAGGACAATGGGAAAGAAAAAAAAGAAAGAAAAGAAAAGAAAAAAGAAAGAAAGAAAAAAAACGAAGACAATTACAATAACAAAACACAAGTATGAAGTATGACAAAAAACAAAACAAAAACAAAAACTTTCACTCCTTAAACCCTAAAGGATGGGAAACCTCAGTGCCAAGTGTGAGCACGGAACAGGAATTAAAGCGAGATCCAAACTGCTATAATAAAGAAAGAGAACAATCAGCTAATAAGACAACTTTTACCATCTTTTGCATTGTGTAAGAGACAGGAAGAAAAGCCAAGAAAAGGATGACTTGAAGAAAAGAAAAAGAAAAAAGGAAGGAAGGAAGGAAGGAAGGAAGGAAGAAAGAAGGAGGAAGGAAGGAAGGAAAGAAGAACGAAAAAAAGGAAAGGAAAAAAAAAAGAAAGAAAAAAAGAAGACAAAAGAAAAAAAGAAAGAAGACAAAGAAAAAAGAAAGAAAGACAAAGAGACAGAAAGAAAAAGAAAAAGAAAATCACAATGACTCTCGCTCTCTACCATCCGATGTAGCAGACACACCCGAGTATGACATATGTCAAACATAATCCTTTAGAACTTCACAAAAATGAAAAGAGAATGAAAGAAAAGATCACAAAGGAAAGGGGAAGAAAAAAGCATACCATTCATCGTCCTTCTTCGATGCTTTGTACGACTTGGGGTTCTCTTTCTCTCTTTCGGCCTGTTCTTCTCTTTTATTCTTCCTTTCCATTACATCATCAATAATCTTTTTCTGAAATACAGAGGAAAACCATTGTCATGTCACTGTAATACGTTTTTAGGGTATGGATAATAGATTATTCCGTAACCATTGTGGATATTGGTGAAAACATGCTGTATTTTAAGATGTTTTGTGGTTTCCTAGCCAAGGTTAAGCCTCTTGTTGAGAAATAAGCTTCCAGAATGGATATTTATACTATCTGTTGACTTAATTTAGGTGAAAATGTGATACTATTTCACACCATTCATGACTACAACCAGCCAACAGTTTTTTTCACCATTACTGCCTCTTTCTATAAAGCAAACATGATTTTAAAAATAATTCTTATAATTAAAATGATAATATAAGAATAAGAATTATCATAATAATAACAAAATGAAAACAAATGAACATGAACATAAACATAAACATAGTAATAAGTGGATAAAGTGGAAATGAAATGGCCACAACTTTACAATTTCTATGTCTAACAAGAAGGTCTTCCTTGTTCTTACCTGGAAGTTCACGAGATATTTTTGGTTAAGTCCGTCATCCTCCAAGGCCTCCACACCACCATGCAGCCTCTCGTACATGGCCGCTTTCTTTTCCAAGATTGACCTGAGAATTTTGAGAAGACATTATATAGCTGTAACAATCAAGTAATTAAAAGGTATGATGAGTTAAAAAATCTGGTGTCTTTTGGAAAAATGCCTTTTTTTTGACAATTTTATGTGTCTACAATCAACTGTCTTGCAAAACACAACGTGTGTGCAATAATACTATTCTAAGATGTGCAAATTTAGTCTTATTTTGTATGTGAGAGAGTTTTTAATTATATAGCTCTCAGCAAATGACCAGTTACACAACTAGTTACCTTGCTTTCTCTTCTGTAATTTTCTCCTCTTCCATCTGCTCTCTGTCCTTAGCAGCCCTGGCAATAACACCAGCATTTGTGATGTTAAAGGACTTTGTTGATCTGCTCTGCTTAGCTGCATCTTGTCGAGGAATACCCTTCTGGCCGGCTCCAAACTTACTTGCCTCTGCACGTTTCTTCTGCAATTCTGCGCGTAATCCGACTAGCTGTGAAATTCAAACAGCAATGGTTATCATCTCATAAAGAAATCATACTTAAATAATAATAATAATAGTAATAATAATAATAAAAATAATAATAAATATATAACTATCTGGTTGTGTAAAGTTTTGGTAGTTAAAGTCTTCAGTGGCTAACTATAGCAATGATATTGGCTCCAGTATTTGGGGAGAACATGAAGTATACTTAAGAAACTGCAGATAATTCCTCTGTAAAAATAAAGACAATTAACTGTTAAAATTAAGCCCAATGCAATGCCCTCAGAACTATGTTCCGTGGAGTGACATACCTGACACCAATTTTACTTTTGAGACACCTATTTATCCTGAAAGAGTTTGGAAGGCGTTGGTGTTGTTGCTGTATATGTACATTCTCTGTTTCTAGTCACATTCATTTCAAATGTTGGTTCAAATTCCGAAGATCTCCCAAGATGGTGTTTGTTACACAACTGTATTTGGTATCATGATTTTACATACAATATGAAACTACAAATCAATGAAAAATGGATGGAGATGACACTGATACTTCCACAAAGAGCTCCTATATCTGTGAGAGATTATGACAGTGGCATAGAAGAGGTTTCACTGGATCTATCTTTAGGACATCACTCAACAAAGTATGTGATTCATACAGGACTTGATAAGGGAATTCTTACAAGACAGTGCTAGTTAATCTCAAGGGCCATGTCAGTGAGCAACAAGCGGGTGGTTAGCAACGACACTCATCTTTGTCTCTCCAGCATTCATCACTGATTCTCTGTTGTAGGCTTTGTGGAAAGAATATGTATGGCTGAACTCTCATAGATATCACATGAGTATGTTTTCACACATTAGCATAAAAAATTTATTATATATGGCATTCTTTTTCTGATTTTTTATCTTAATATTTCCTCAATATGCTCTATACCCTCCCTAGGTATGGAGGCCAATACAGTCTCGAAAGATGGTCAGCATAAACTAAAACTGCTATAACTAAACAGCACATGTCATAAGCTATGCATTAATAGGAGTACCTAATACTATCTAGTTGGTATGTTAACTTATATAATATTCATACAAAAATCATGACACTTGAGGCAATCACACAAAATTTAAAACAGGACATTTTTCTTATGATTATGTTCATTGTCTTCTATCTACATCCAATTGAAACTTACAGTGATAGGATCTAGAAGGCCTACAAACTTTAGTCAAACCAAATAATGGCACAACATCAAGGAATCATAATGATCAGAAAAAATATCAGAGTGTATTCTAGCAAGAGAGAGTTTTGATTGACTGGTCCTTCGTATTAAGAATAAATGAGCTGAGAGATCTACAAACACATTCTTGACAGAAGATATGGTTTAGGGTGACATGAATATCTTCTCGTGAAAAAAATATGGCCGAGGGTGGGGCGATGAGAACATCTCGGCATGGAAAAAAAATTGGCAGGTGAAGGGAACTTCTTGTCAAGGGAAATTCTTGAGGGTGAAATTTGCCAATCATCAATTATGCCGAGGGATTGGCTAAAAAGCAAATATGGATTCCAAGATTACAAAGAGGAGGCATGGAGTCTTAATAGTGTGTGTGAATATGTGTATAATGGGCCTACAAATCACACATCCACCACTCAAGGAGGCCTAATGCCTGGAATTTGGTCGACATGTGTGCGGTAAGGCATCCAGAAGCAATGAGTTAACTGAACCTTGAATGGTGTGGAGGTTGGGCTGATTGGTGTGAGGCCAGTTATGAATATGTGTGTCTTCTGGGTCACCACAGATCCCGTAAGTCCAGACTGTAGTTTGGTCAGCGTGAACATGTTCCCCGCACAAAAATTATTTGGTCAAATTCTGTCCAAGCAAATGTAGCTCTCGGGTAACTTTCTAAGCGTTTTAATTCTTTTATAATAAGATTTCACACATAATTTTTTTTTTTTACCTTTCCACACAATTGTTTCATCACCCGTCCACGCATATGTTGACAAAATTATATTTCCGTGCATGGAAAAATGTAATATTCCCCATGCAAGAAAAATATTCTACAGTCTGGCCGTATGTTAGGGGTAATTATCATAACAAATGTTTAAAGGTCATTTTTGAAAATGCTTGATATCTCTTGATACTCTCTCAAAGACCAATATAATACTACCATATACAATCTGGCCTTAAAGAGCATTCAGATGCCTTTATCCTGTTCAACTTCAACCACATCATGGTTAATGTTACTGAGAGCGCCACAAAGAGTTAAAGGGAAATGGACATCTTTTAGAGCTTAAGGAATAGTCACAAACAACACAGGTACAGCCGCTGTGTCCCCATATTTACCACAAAGTTCACAACACCTTCACACAGCCAGTGTTCTTAATATCAGAGTTCTACAAATTGGTATGAGCGATAATAACATAAAGGGGGTATAGGGGGGCTTCCCACTGTCTAAAGAATAAATAAGAAGTAGTCAAGGTAAGGTTTGGGTTTTTGGGTTTCCAGGATACCCTGGTTTCCGGACTTGGTCTCTGGAAGGTCACTCTCGGCAACAAAAACCCACAACTTACAGCAGGAATGAAATGGTCTTACACAGAACAGAGAAAGATGAGATAATCAAAGTCCAATTTTGAAAGATTTTTGCTGTTATCGCATTTAGGTTTACCAGACCAAATATTCCATTAAGACATTTGAAATAATCTTTACTAACAGCCTATAATCCAAAATCATTAGGCTAATACAATGAAGTAACTTACTCCAGACTCCATTATGGTGTAAAATATATACTTCCAGACGAAAAAAAAATTCTTGCTACGATGATTGCACACGTTGTTTGGGTCGCTTGCGTTCCGATGTCAGTATGGTTGTCAATCTCCCGTCTTCAAAGAAAACGTGATTAATTCATGGGATTCTAAACTAAATGTCACAGACAGCAGGTATGGTTGATGTATATGAAGATATGCATTGACACTATCGCAATGATTGTAAATACATCAGCTTATCTAGCTATAATGGTTTTATTTTTTTATATACATCATGAAACTAAACGAACCAAACTGATATTCTCTCTCGAGCTCACGCACTCGCTCCCCCCACTCATATACACACACCCTCACAGAAGTTTAGTGATTACAAAATATACATTTGTATTCATGTACAGTTGTATTTCAGGGACGGGATCCAATTACGGAAATATATATACCTTTCTCAGTGGTTATATGAATATGGCGCAAAATCACTTCGTATATTTATATCTAATTACGTTGGTGAAAAAATACAGGTAGCGATACATCATATGCGCAGGAAGTAAAGATTATACACAATACCTTGTCATAAATCATTATAAGTAATATACACCATGTATATTTATCATGCAAATTGCGAGACAAGTTCAAAGACACTTTATACAACAACAGCAAAGCAAAAAACATCTGGAAAAATACACAACCAATGACATTCCTATTATTCTGGGAACCAAAAACCATTATTACTAATTAGATGGACTTCAAGTATACTAAACTCATATAATCTTTGTACTGGTGAAAACTCCGCATAGATACAAGAACGTGCATTTATATCATTATCATAATCATTATATATTTTTTTATGAGGGGGGGCAGAGGGGAAGATTTAATTAAGGCTCATTAGTATTCGGTGACACACTGAAATGAAATTCGTCTCAGCGTGAATACGAACATTTCATTGTGTAACATATTCACAGCCTAAGGGACGCTGCACAAGTACGTAAATAGCTGAATGTTTCGGTCACCTTAACTTGCCTATCAATTATTATAAAAAAAAGAAGAGAGAGAGAGAGAGAGAGAGAGAGAGAGAGAGAGAGAGAGAGAGAGAGAGAGAGAGAGAGAGAGAGAGAGAAAGAAAAAAAGGAAAGAAAAGCGGATGAGAATTAGAAATATTTACCTATGGTCGATCCCCATCAAGACACATTTCCGCATAAATTACAAACAAAGAGCTTAGGGTCACAAAGAACCACTACTTATGCAAAAACATTATCAACCGAGTCATGAGACAAATATGTCTCTTTATATATAGTATGACTGAGGTCTATCTCTGCTTCTAGTATGAGGGACATTGGATCCAATCTATGGATTTCTTTTCAAACCATATTTAAGCTAAGAAAAATTATTACTGATACTACAAGCCTTTTAAAAATATGTTATTGCTATGTCAACATGAGAAATCACGTGTGGATTGGGTATGGGTTTACATACACACACACACACATACACACAAACACACGCGCGCGCAGACACACACACAGATACAGACACAAACACACACACACACACACATATACATTCATACACATACCGCATTCCCCATCCACACACACACACGAGCATAGTTTTCTGTATGTAAAAAGATAGAGACAAAAAGAAAGAAAGAAAGATAGAAAACAAGAAAAAGAAAAGAAAGAAAAGAAAAGAAAAAAACCCGAAATTAATTTGACAACTTGAATTTACCCGCCTACCTTACATGTCCAATCTCATAATTACAAGACCTCCAAAGTTGTTGATTCGCACGTACTGGCCCTTTATCACACGCAGCGTACAGCCGGCAAAGCGGCTTTAACCCTTGCATAACCTCGGGACTTAAACTGCACTCCGAGGAAAGTCACGTTCGTCGAGGTGGCAGAAGAGGAAGTATGGGAGGATTGGAGGAACATCGGAGAAGAAGAAAAATAAGAATTGATATAGATGTGTTTAGGTGTGTCTTTATCTGTCTATCTGAATATCGATTTCCCCATCTATACGAGGTGGACGAAGAGGAAGTATGGCAGGAATGGAGGAACATCGGAGAAGAAGAAAAATAAGAATTTATATAGATGTGTTTAGGTGTGTCTTTATCTGTCTATCTGAATATATATTTCCCCATCTATATGAGGTGGACGAAGAGGAAGTATGGCAGGGATGGAAGAACAACGGAGAAGAGAAGAAAATAAGAATTTAAATAAATGTGTGTATATGTGTGTCTGTATACTGTCTATCTATTTCACTGTCTATATGAGTATTTGATTATGTGTCTGTCTAATAGAATGGAAGAACAACAGACAAGAAGAAAAAAAACAAACGAATTTATATAAATGTGTGTATATGTCTGTATCTGTCTATTTATTTCATATCTATACGACTATCTGATTATGTGTCTGTCTGTCTATCAGTCTATATACCTATCTTCCTCCCTGCTAACCTAAATATATCAGTCAATCCATCCATCCATCTATCTATCGTTCACCAAAATACACACGCAAATACGTAATTTTATCCTCTGAACGTATACGAAGTTATAAAACGAAAGGTACGGTGTATATTGCCCTTGGATCATGGCGGTGAGGTAACGTGCTTAATCTATTTTGACTCTAATCCCAAGTAATATAGAAGGACAACGCGCGTATTTGGATGCATAAGAATACTGATCAGGGATTAATACACGACAGAAAACCTCCTGTTTAAATGCAAAAGGCGGAGCGAAGGAAGGTGAAGTCCTACTGTGAAGTCAAAAGGTTAACATGAGTGAAAAAAAATGGCGGGAAAACCTTTGTTGTTTAATCTTACGATATTGCGATGGGAGAGAGAAGGAGGGATAACAAGAGAGGGAGAAGAAGAAGGAGTGGGAGTGGGAGAGAAAGGGAGAGAAAGGGGACAGAAAGGGTTAAAAAGAGGGAGAGGGAGAGGGAAAGGGGGGAGGGAAAGGGAGAGGAAGAGAGGGAGTTCTCGCCAATAACTGTAAAGTTAAGCGGGGAGAAGGAAAGAGAAACGATATTTGGTATGAATCCTGAATCTTCGAATTATGCAAAGATCTAGACCAAAAAAAGGACCTTGGTGAGAGTGAGAGAGAGAGAGAGAGAGAGAGAGAGAGAGAGAGAGAGGAGAGAGAGAGAGAGAGAGAGAGAGAGAGAGAGAGAGAGAGAGAGAGAGAGAGAGAGAGCGACTAAGCAGAAGTCGTTCTAGTTGCATAAGAGCTGCCAGCGCTAGTTGCTTAAGCCCTAATAATACTAGTTTAGAATATAATACTAGTTGCTGACGTACACTAACAGTGCTAGATCTTAAAAGTCCTAATAGTGCTAGTTGTTTATGTCCTTATAGCACTACTTGCTTAAGAACTAATAGTACTAACTGCTTACCTATCCTAAAAGTGCAAGTTGTTAATGTCCACATAGTGTTAATTGCCTAAATCCTAAAGTTAAGCAATACAAAAATACTTCTGCAATAAATATAATGCATTAGCAACATATGCGTAAATTGCAAAAACAAAGAAAATGATCATAAATCATGACCATTGTAACAGCAGGTTTATGCTATGATAAACGCCCAGGAAAAGACAAATTAACCCACCTCATGACACCGCATGGCAAACCCTACATAGCAGGAATTCATGCTTATGAAACAAGGAATTTGCTAAGCGTGTTGAAATGACGGGGAAATAATTGTGTCATGTTTCTTATTCACTGTATTGGAAAGATCTGCGGTTCTTAGAGGTCATTCAACATATGCTAATCTCTATATAGCCAAGAGTGAAATAGTCGACACCATGTCATCAGTCATGTGATATAAAAACTGTAGAATAGGGTTGTGGTTAGGAGATAAAAATTGCATAGTTTAGCTGTATATATTCTTGGAATGATAATTATTTTATGAGAAATTGATGTGGTGTGTGAAATATATTCTCGACATCTCTTTCTTCCTTTCACCCTCTCTCTCTTTAAGTCTTTATCTGTCCCTCCCTGTATCTGTTCGTTCCATTCTTTTTTCTGTCTGTTAACATGTATGTTTATGTGTGTGTATGTGTGTGCGCGCGGCCGCGCATGTGTATATATGCGTGTGAGTTTCTGAGTCGCTAGATGTATCGCAAATAATTCTAATATCTTTGCATTCCACTTTTATCTATTATAATGAAACCGCTACCATCTGCAACCCCCCCCCCCCCCCACCATCACCACATAAAAACAAACAAACAAGCAAAAAAACACCTGTGTCGATTACCTTCGCTCATGACGTGGCAAAGGTCAAAACGCCCAACACTGAACACGTATTGCATCATATTCGTACGTGTTATCGTCTCTATCCCCGTCTGGCCTTGGATCTGTCAATGATTTTTTTTTCCCAGCTAAACATTATTCATTAAGAGATGGTGGTAAAAACCCTGAAATATAGAAGGAATGACGTCACCCTAAGTTATACGATAAATATGGGATTTTTTCCTTAACGCTAAAAAGCTGTCACGGTGACTTGTTGACGCGCTTGAGGGAGGGAAGAGGGAGAGCTGGAAGAAAAAGGGAGGCTAGGAAGTAGTGAGAGGGAGAGGGAGAGAAAGAGAGAGAGAGAGAGAGAGAGAGAGAGAGAGAGAGAGAGAGAGAGAGAGAGAGAGAGAGAGAGAGAAGAGAGAGGGAGAGAGAGAGAGAGAGAGAGAGACACTGAAAGGATAAAAGATAGACAGATAAAGAAACCGAGATTCAAAAAAAAAAAAAAAAAAAGAGAGCTAAAGAGAGAGAGAGAGAGAGAGAGAGAGAGAGAGAGAGAGAGAGAGAGAGAGAGAGAGAGAGAGAGAGAGAGAGAGAGAGAGAGAGAGAGAGAGAGAGAAGAGAGAGAGAGAGAGAGAGAGAGAGAGAGAGAGAGAGAGAGAGAGAGAGAGACGAAAGGATAAAGACAGACAGATAAAGCAACCGAGATTCAAAAAAAAAAGAAAGAGAGAGAGAGAGAGAGAGAGAGAGAGAGAGAGAGAGAGAGAGAGAGAGAGAGAGAGAGAGAGGAGAGAGAGAGAGAGAGAGAGAGAGAGAGATCTCGCGCAAGACGCAATATCCAAACAACAAACATTAACTCCTTTACCAAATAGTTGAGAGAGAACGACCA